GGGGGCGGCGGCGGCGGCACGGCCAGGCCCTCACTGCGCCTGCGCGCTCGGGCCCCGCCCGGCCCCGCCCCTTGCTCCCGGGCTGACTGAGGACTCTGAGGCCCTCGCGCGGCGTGTCTCTACCCCTGAGCCGCGAGGGCGGGGTGGGGCTGGCAGCCCGCGGTGGGCAGCAATGGCCTTTGTCCTTCACACGCACAAACATCCCATACGAGGGTGGCTTGGGATTTGTGTGTGTGTTTAAGTGACGAAGGCAGCATCTTTTGTCCAGCGTTCGACAAACTCTTCCCAGCTCCGTGATTTGGCCCTACTGAGGCGTCGCCGTCTCCCCAAGACTCTTGGGGAAATCTTCAAGGGGCAGAACTTCCCCCGTTGTTCATGGGGCCAGACCCTCCCTCTCCGTAGCCCAAAGAATCCGGACGGACCCGCCTTGCCCAGAACCAGAGACCTTGGCCTCCTCGGGCTCCCCTCACTGACTCAAACAAAAGCCGGAATTGGAAAGACCACCTCTAAGTTGATGTTTGTTCTAATCGGCTGCCTGCTTTCCTCAAACACCCATTTCCTTGGCCCTTAGCTGACAAGAATATTGAACATTTGCAAGGACGCGAAGCCAGAAAGAAAACTCTTAAAATTCCACAAACCTCCCTGCTGTGTATGCTTGTCTGTGCAGCGCGGTTTCCACTTCTCCAAGGGAGGGCTTTTATTCACGAAGGCTGGGGGCCTTAGGGGCTTCTTAGGGGTTGTGAAATGAAAATTGCAGTGGAGAGTTGTTGCATCAGGGTAGAGATTGTGATCGCGTCTTCCCACCCAAGGAACTGAGAAGGGCCAGTTGATACCGTTCGGATTTTTTGATTTGCAAATCTGGTTTGTACCCAAGCAACCAGGATAGGGGAGGGGCTTCCTCCCAACGCCCTGCCGCCTTTACACACTCCTGTGGAATCAGCCGACTTGGGTGGGATTTTTGCTCTGGGAGAGGGGGAAAGGTGACGAGCGTGGCGCCATGATCGGAAGTCTGGGTTTAATTCTTAGCTTCCAGGTGGAAAATTTGCGTGGGAGGGCTATCTTAAAAGGTGATGTCTAGCCTTAGCTTCTCCCACTAGGCAGAAGGGTTATTCTGAAGGAAGGCCGGTTTTGCTGGTCTTTCATTGTGGCTAAGGGCAGTTCCAAAGATATATTCATAGATACACTCCTGAAGTCATACTCTTTGCTTGCTTACTCAAGTCCCCTTTTATCTTTTTATCTGAACTTGATGTAAATAAATCTACACATTCCTTAAACTGGTTTCTGTTACCATACTAATCAGGGGTTGTCCTAATGCCAGCCCAGGATTCTAAGACTGTTTACCCTTCAGACAGAGAGAATTTTTTCTATATAGTAAAATCCCTTAGAAAAAGGAGTATATGCTTTGATTCACTAGCTTTATTACTGTGTTTTGTTTTGTCTTAAAGGCCTAAAATAAGAAACTGGTACTGTTTTACCGTTTGGCTTTCAAGAAATGAAATCCAGCACTCGGAGAAATAGTGCTCTTCCTCAAATTGGGATCAAGTACTTGATTACTCAATTTTTATTTGCATAAAAATTTTCCTAAGAAACATTAAGTACCCTTATATATGTTATAAATGTATGATAAATTATATAGAAAAGAGGAAAAGGTCTTAGGAGATTCACATGAAAAAATACATGCCACTGACTTGGTGTAGGAGTAGTTAATTGACAAATAGATATGCAACCCTCTTTCCTTTTGTTCCTCTTTGTAAAATCTCAGTTAGGACATGGTTATTCACTCATAGCAAGAGAGAACATCAAAGAAGAATTAGAACTTGGCAATGAACCTGTCTGCTACACAAGACAGACAATATAGTCCACCCTCTGTATTCACTGGTTCCACAGCCACAGATTCAACAATCGAGGATGGAAAATCTAGTTAGACCTACAATGGCTGTGTCTGTACTGAACATGTACAGACTTTTTTTCTTGTCCTTATTTCCTAAACAATGTAGTATAACAATTTATATAGCATTTACATTGTATTAGGTATTGTGAGTAATCTGCAGATGATTTAAAGTATACTGTACCATTTTATATAAGGGATTTGAGCATCTATGGGTTTTGTTATCCATGGGGGTATATTTCTCACACATGTTACATTTTTTTTTTTTTTTTGTCTTTTTTCCGTGTCCGGCAACGGATCGCAACCCTCAGTATTGCCCCCGTACCGGACCAGGGACCGGCAACGGGATTGCAAGCCTCGGTGTTGCCCCCGCGCCTCGCTCAGCCAGTGAGCGGGAGCCGGTCTGTATGTGGGATCCGAACCCTCGGACGGGAGCGCCGCCGCGCTTCCCAAGCGGCGCACTATCCAGTGCGCCACCGGGCCGGCCCCCACACATGTTACATATTTGATACAAGGCATCAGGGGGCCTATCATCAGTGGTGTTCACCAGGAAACAGACCCTGAAACTCTGAGATTTGTGTGCACGTGGTATTGGGTAATGCTATCATGAACAACCTCTGTGGGGACTGAGGGTGGCAAGATTGGGTAGAAGTTGAACTGCAACACAACTGCAACTAGGGCTTCAGCCAATCCTGCAGGGGCTCTGGTGCTGGGATGGCCCTTCAGCTTTGTCCCAAACTAAGGCAAGGAGCTGTCAGGTCTTCTTACCCTCAGATCAATCAGTCGTTGTATGTGGACTGCATTCAGGGAAGGGAAATGACTTTGGGCAAGAGGGTTCTTTTTAGCCAAGAGCAACCCCCCCCAGAAGGACCCAGCTGAGAGATGTCAGCCACCAACATATCCAGCAATTGAGAGAAAGAATGCTTCAGACTGAAAGGGTAGATTTAGGGAGCTTAGCCCAATATTCACTGCATGGACTCTGCTCATTATAGTCACTGAGGTTCCCAAATTGGTGAAGGTTTCACTGAGACCCATGCTTTCAAGATTGCCAGGGTAGAGATCATAAAATTTAATTGCTGGTGGTGTAGTGGCTTGCTCTAGTCATTAAAAAGCTTCCACCCAGATCAAGGTGCTTCACTTCCACTCACATGTTATTGGCCATCAAAGTCACATGACCATACGTAAGAGAGCAGGAAATGAAATCATACTGTTACTAGAAGGAGAACCTGAATATTTGTGAACAGTCCTAATGACTATCATGGTGTCCAATGGTAAAATAATCCCTAGTACTCTAATCACCAAAAGCCCAACAAGTAGGAGGGTGTTCTAACATCTGGGAAAAACTCTGGGGCGAACAAACGGGATGAGGGGGAGCAACACAGAAATCCAGGTGAACAGACCAACAGCATCTATAAGACTGATGGATCTTCACAATGTATTATGGCGCCTCATGGATTATATCTTCCCTTTGAGTTGGAGGATCGGCAAAAGCAAAGCAAGTCCCCAGTTTTAGGAAGAGACAGGGGCACTAAGCAGATTATTAGAACAAGAAATGGAATAAGGACCAGGGCAGAATCCCTGTTATATTAATGAGGACACACAGGAGTTACCTGGGCTCCAAAATATTGAATACTTCTAAGAATAAACTTTATGATCATAAAGGGGTGTGTCAAAGAAAAAACAGAAGAAAAACTTAATTCTAAAAGAAAAACTATGTATATGCCCAGAAGTTAATAGTTGGGACAACTTTTCAGGACAGAATAACAGAAGACAACTTAAAGCTGCCTAGAAACTTTACAATTTATTCTTTAGGCTTAAACTGAGAAATGGGACATGTCATAGTCTTCTTTTGGAAGATCAAGAGTGTAGATGTAGGGAGAGAGGAAAACCCAATTGGGAAGCACAAAGAAAATGAGATTGGAGATTGACCTCACTGACATCCTCCAGACCTGAAAGCAACCTTAAGTCTCTCTCTTCCTAAAACGAGCAAAACTTTTAAAAACAAAAATAAAAAATAAGTAAAAACAGCTTTGCTTTTGAAACCTAGATCTATTGTCCCATTTCTTCCCTTTTTGTCTAATCTTTTAAACTTTAGTTAGCCTCACTTCTCGGGTCACCTTTTCCTTCAAGAGCAAAATGAAATGATCTGAGCCTTCCATCCAGAGTGACTGATAGCAGGAAAACCCAGGTTCTCCACAAGCATTTGAAAGATCCCAGAGGAGGACTTCTGTTTTCCAAAAATTTACTTGATTTGCTCTGGATTTCTCTACTGACATCTTTTTTTTTTTTTAAAAAAAGATGACCGGTAAGGGGATCTTAACCCTTGACTTGGTGTTGTCAGCACCATGCTCACCCAGTGAGCCAACCGGCCATCCCTATGTGGGATCCGAACCCTTGGCCTTGGTGTTATCAGCACCGCACTCTCCCGAGTGAGCCACAGGGCCGGCCCCTGACATCTTTTAAGATCTTTTCCTTGCTGATACCAGACACTGAATTCTGCTTTCCTCCAAAGAGTAGATATAGGACACTGTATTTATTCTCCAAGATACTCCATATGTGGTTAAAATTTTTACTAAGACTTGGAATTTTGGGGTATTTTTGTTTTGTTTTGTTTTTATTTTGGGGTCAGATGGCCAGTAAGGAGAATGCTTGGAGTTTAAGAAAAAGAAGTATAGCAAATGAAGGAAATTTTAAAGCAGGATGTCAGATATTACTGCTCCCTGAAGTCTTTGAGCCACACATATATCTGCCCAGTAAATTCCCCCTTCAAAAGTATTATTCCTTAGCCTATAGCCACTAGCCACATTTCTAGGATCCAGTCCCAGCCTTTCCATCCATCCATCCATCCATCCATTTATATAACCAACAAATGTTTACTAAACTATGTGCCAGTCACTGTTCCAGGTACTGGAGATACAGCGAGAACAAGGGAGACGAGTTTCTCCCTCTCATCCTCTCATCGTACTTACTTATATTCATTTTATATTGCTGTGTAACAAATTACTACAAACTTAGCAGCTCAAAAACAGCACATGTTGATTATCTCACAGTTTCCATGAGTCTGGTCACTGCTTAGCTGGGCTCTCTCCTCAGTTTCACAAGGTTGCCATCAAAGCGTCAGCCAGGCTGTGTTGTCATCTGTGGGCTTAACTGAGGAAGAATCTTCTTTTAATCTCATTTGGGTATTGGCTGTCTGCTGGCGATGTTCTTGGCTACTAGGGTCCCCCACAGTTCCTTCCCATGTGGCCTTCTCCATAGGTGTTCTCACAACATGGTAGCTTATTTATTTAAGGCTAACAAGGTGGAGTCTCTCTCGCTCCAGTCTGCTAAGACAGAGCTTTTTTTTATAACACAACATAATCATTGGAGTGGCATCTCATCACTTTGCCATACTCTATTGGTTAAAAGCAAGTCACAGGTTCTATCCACACTTGAAAGGAAGGAATTCTACAAGGATGTAGATGATGGGGGGGTCACCTTAGGGTGTATTCACCATGTTATCTTTCAGCAAGAAGAGACAATAAGAGAGGGGCATCTGTTCTACCCTGTTAAAAGGACTCATCAGGGAAAGCCTCTCTGAGGAAATGTCACTTGACCTAAGACTCGAACGATGAGAAAGAACCAATGGTTAAACACAGATCTGGTGGAAAAGTCTTTTTGCTTAGGAAACAGAAAAAGGCCCTGAGCTGATTCGAACAATCTTGGTATGTCTGAGGAATGAAAAGGAGTCTAGTTTACTGGAGCATAGGAGATAAAGTTAGAGAGGCAGGTATGTGCCACAAAATACAAGGCCAGTAGGCCATAATAAGGGTGTGGGTCATTTGCCTA